AGTTCACTCTAGTAGAACCTATTGTCAATGAGTAATTCCTGATGCTTGTTTGCCATTAATTATCCACCCTTTAAATACAGGCTTATCCATCTGTGGTGTATTGAGTCTTGATGTGCTAATTCCTGCATTTCGTATAATTATATTTCCTACATCGGGAATGCATGTGGTTTTGGGATCTGCCAGTCACTTTTTAAGGGTGTAACAATGCACTGTGGCATGAAGTCAATTATTAATGTTAATACAAAGAGGTATAATAGGCATAACCTGAGTTTTGCTTTGAGATTTTATTTTTGAATTATGCACTGGAGTCTACAGAATAAAGAAAAAACTGCAAGCAAAAAGATTTTTTTAAATTTAAATAATATAAATGTACATGCATTTGAATAAAGAACTGTGAGGTCTTAGTCTATTTTCAGTCTTATTTTGTTTGAGCTGTGAATCCTGAATTGTCCATCAAACTGAATTGTGAATAGACTTTCGTTACACCCCTATGGCACAGACCCTTATTTCTTTTAGTGTCTTATTACCATTTTGTCATTTTGTCAATTGCACCAAAAGTGAAGCAGCAGCACTAGGTGGCAGCAAAGGAAGGACAGGCCGGCGGTAGAACACACTTGATCTTGTGAACACAGTAACTTTAAAAGTATTTGATGTATATTTTTCAAGAAACATTGTATAAATTATTATTTGTGATCAATTTCATTTTGAGACAAATTGCACAAGAATTAAAGCATTGTCACTTAGTAGTAGCACATGAAAGGGCAAATACAGATCTGGTGAACATGATGACACTGAGACAAAGTTGGGCTTTTAATAAAGATTATTTGGAGGGGAGACAGTGTGTGTGGGGGGCTACAGATTATAGAGGTTAGGGGATGTAGGAGGAGTTGGGATGAGATGGGGAGGAGGTGTTACATCTAAGGAGGGAACAACTTCAAGGCAGACATAGGGTGAACAGAAAGGGGCTTTATTATTATAAACACGATTAAACAAAACAATGGACCATGAGGGGTACAACCTAGAAACTAATAACACCTAAGGGGGAGGCCTGACTAACACAGGGATATAGATCATTTTTGACATGTGAGGTAGGGCTGGGCAATATCATACCGGTATTATATCACGCATGCGCAGTAATCACTAGTACTTCAGATGACAGGCACAACATTGGGCAGTGCGCCAGCTTTTCTGTGCTATACGGACATTTATTTACGCCCACAATATAAGCAGCTTAGTATGGCTAAATTATTAATGAGGCTTTGTATCAGAGCATTTGAGTGGAGTGGAGCGGTGAGAATTTCCGCTCCTCGCTCACGAGGCTGTTGGCTCCGTCCGCTTCTCCGCTCTAATTCGCACTAAGACGGAGCGCTCAACACCGCTCCTCACTCCACTAAAATTTCCTCCCGCTTCAGTGAAATCGCTCCACGCTCGCTCCAATTTAAAAGAGGGACAAATAATCTGCATGCCTAACAAATGTCACCTTAAAACGAAGCCTTATATCAAAAAGAAATATGAGTAACGGCAACATTGCCACTCAGAAAATAATTATTTTTAAGCAACATATACAGTAAGCAACAACGGACAGGTTTGGCAATGGCATTCCACACAAAAATAGTCTTAAAAATAAAGGAATCAGTGGGCGTAATAGCCTAAATAATACACAGGCTAAGCATCAACGTTTTAAATTCCTCAATTTTTTCTGTTGATGCTGCTGCTGCGTCTCTATAAAATAAAATTTCGCTGATAGCGTTACGTGAAATTTAAAAAATCCTATTAGACCTACTTTGAATGACAAAAC